AAATGCCAATCGAAGTACCCTGTTCAGATGCCAATCGAAGGACATTGCTGAATTGCCAATCGAAAGACACTTTTATAACATTAAAAAAATTTCATTTTCTTTAGGCAAGTGTCTGTAACCATCCATATAAGAGAAAAAACCTTGGGAAACATTAGAGGACAAATTTTGGGGTACAATAGTACCCCACTTCGGTTGCCTTCGGAAAATAGTCACAACTATGAAAATGTGAGAGGTTTTAGTGGCTACCCTCTGGTTCAAATAAGATCATAAGTCCCTCGATGACCCGTTCGACGTTGCCTCGGTAAAAATATGATCTTAGAACCTTAGGATAGTTACTAAAGCTTCTTGCCCAGTTTCTTTTGTGACTATAAAACGTCTCTTCGATTGTCCCTCATACATCCAACGATAGGGCTACCTACTCACTAATAGTAGGATATCACTGTCTAAAGGATATGAGGAAAAGAACGAACCTTTTAGAGTATAAGTAGATAGTTTTTAGATGCTATGCTCAAAACAAATTTTTTTACACTTACAAAAAAAAACCTTTCAAAAACACTTTCAAAAACATTCGCTTTGTCAACACTCTTAAGGACTGATACAAGAGTTACCATATAGCGAATCACCACACTAAGGAATTTTTAAATACTTTTCAAAAAACACAAAGCACAAGGTATTTCAAAAAATGAGCTAAGCATCTAAGAGCCCGTAGAAAACTACGGATGGAAAGGGTGCTAACACCTTCCCTTTCCATAATCTACCCCCTTACTCAGAAAATTCTCGAAAAGGTCTTTTTCTGTTCTTTTCACCCTTTCCTTAATTTGGATAAAAGAAAAGGCGGTGGCGAGTCTTGCTTACCGCAACATTTGCAAACACAAACTCAAAACCAGTATAACAGTCGGTTCTGCCACCGTATTACACTGACAATAATGAGATTTTTAGGTGTCCTTGTATGAAATGCTATAATACGAAAAAAAACATTTAACGGATGTTATATTCAATCACTATGGTAGTGATGAATTATTCAAAATTACACGAAATGGCTATGACATAGTGAAGGGACAAAAAAGAGACCTTTGTCACATATAGTTAAAGATGATGAATTTATGATTGATAATCTAGAAGACATCATTCGTGATATATGCTTTCAAGAAATCTAATATGGTAGATACTTTGCAAAGAGACATGGAAGATTCATTGTACCTGGGATGTAAAAGTTTTACAATATTATCAACTATGTTAAGACTATTTAATCTTAAGTCAAAAGGTGGGCAGACGGATAAAAGTTTCACCGAATCGCTTGAATTGTTGAAAGAAATGCTTCCCGAAGGTAACACATTGTCGAAACGTACTTATGAGGCCAAGAAGATATTATGCCCAATGTGTTTGGACTATGTCAAATACATGCTTGTCATAATTATTGTATCTTATATAGGAAAGAGTTTGAAAACCTGAACGAGTGCCCGAGGTGTGGGGTGTCGCGCTACAAGCAGAAGGACAATAATATTGATGACGATGCTGGTGCAACTAGAAAGGGTGTTCCTGCCAAGGTGATGTGGTACCTACCACTAATTCCAAGGTTCAAGAGATTGTTTGCTATTGTTAGTGACACAAAGAAAACTAGATGACATGCAGATGAAAGAGTGTGTGGTGGAAAATTTTTCCATGTAGCTGATCCATTGCAATGGAAGAAAATTGATTCCTTGTTTCCAGATTTTACCCTTGAACTGAGGAACCTTAGGCTCGGACTTTCCACCGACGAAATGAATCCTTTTTGTAATTTGAGTACTAACCATACTTCATGTCCTATTCTTCTCTTAATTTACAACATATATTCATGGTTGTGCATGAAGCGCAAGTATATGATGTTATCAATGAGGATTTCGGGTCCAAAATAACCAGGGAATGACATAGATGTTTATTTAATTACATTGATTGAAGATTAAAGAGTTTTGTGGGAGGAAGGTGTTGAGGTTGATGATGCGTATATAGGTGATAAATTTAAGTTGAGTTTCATGTTATTTTGACCAATTAATGACTTTCCTGCATACGGTAATTTGTTTAGGTACAACGTAAAGGGTCATAAAGTGTGTCCTATATGTGAAGTTGTTAAATGTCACCACCAATTACAAAAAGGAAAAAACATAGTTTATCTTGGGCATCATAAATTTATAAGACCTAATCATTTGTATCGTAGATTGTACAAGGCTTTTAATGGAGAGCGGGAGTTCAGTATCGCTCCAAAGCCCTTAACCGTGAAGGAAGTTTATAGAAGACAAAAACATATTAATGCCGTATTTGGAAAGAAACAAAAAAATCTTGTGGAGAAAAATTCTTAGAAAAGAGGTTGGTATTCTTTGATCTTCCATACTGGTATAGTCTTGATATAAGACATTGCATTTATGTGATGGACATGGAGAAAAATGCATGTGATAGTTGATTGGAACACTTCTCAACATTAAAGAAAAGACAAAAGATACTAATAAATCTCACGAAGACATGGTTGTGATGGGTATACGACAATAATTGGCCCCAAAAGAAGTAGGAAATAAAACCTATTTACCCTCCAACATGTCACACTCTGTCTAAAAAACAAAAACAATTTTTGATATTGTTTGCAGGGTATCAAAGTTCTCCAATGGTACTCATCAAATATGAAGAAACTTGTGCCCGAGAAGGATCATAAATTAATTGGCTTAAAATATCATGATTATCATGTCTTGATGCAACAACTTCACCAGTGGCTATCAGTGGTATCTTACCAAGAAATGTGCTTATACTTCAATGCTATATGTAGTAAGGTTATAGATCCTAGAAATTTAGATGAATTGGAATATGAAGTTGCAATTATCTTGTGCCAATTAGAGATGCTTTTCCCTCCATCATTCTGTGACATTATGGTTCACTTAGTTGCTCATCTAGTAAATGAGATTAAAATTTATGATCCAATTTATTAACGGTAGATGTATCTGATAGAGCATTACATGAATATTTTCAAAGGATATACAAATAATCATCACCGTCCAAAAGCTTCAACCGTAGAATGGTACATCACAGAAGAAGCTAATGAGTTTTGTACAAACTATTTGTCAAATGCGAACTTTATAGGAGTTCTGGAGTCTCGTCATGATGGGCTTTATGATTGTAGATATATTCAAGGTTTAAATGTTAAGACATTTAGTAGACTAGTAGTTCTTCAAGCACATTTATATATATTGAATAACCTTAGTGAAGTTGATCTTTACTTGACCACTCACAAAAGTCTTATGAAGGAAAAATTCTTCCGGATAAATGAAAAATGATTGTTGATAGAGCATAACAAAACTTTCATAGATTGGTTTAATAAAAGTATTTCTAATGAGAGTTGTGCATCTGATAATTGCAAATGGTTGTCACGTATGTCTAAGTTTAATGTAATTACTTAGAGTGCATACGACATTAGTAAATATTCATTCTATACAAAATCAAAGGATGATCATATCACCATGCATAATAGTGGTGTTATGGTTAAGGTTGAATCCATGTACTTTTCTAGTTTTAAATATAACAATTCAGTACTAGCATCTAGAGCATACTTTGGGGTCATTGAAGAGATTTTGGAGATTGACTATGTTTCTTTTGAAGTTCCTTTATTTAAGTGCAGATGGATTGACAATAAAACTGGTGTAGAAACCGATGAATTAGGATCCACAAGAATTGATCTTTGAAAGGAAACTTATAAGAATGAACCATTCATCATGGCAAACCAAGCAAAATAAGTATTTTATGTCACTGATTCATCTGACACTAGATGGCCAATTGTTCTTCAAGGAAAACATATTCCCGATAGTACTGATGAAAATCAAGATTTTAACTTTGATACGCCTTGTTTAGAAACATGTGCACGTCAATCATCTGAAGAAAATGATTCAGATGATATGCATGCAATTCGTCGTGATCATGAAGAGGATATGAGAAAACTAGTAAGTAAATCGTTTATTGCTTTTGTTTCTTAATCATTTGTTTTAGTTTTGATGTAAAATTATAAAGTGTGTGCCATTTTTGGTTTGTATTTGGTGTAATCAATGAATATTTGTGTTTCAGATTGAGGTATTGGCAAAATATACAATGTCTCTGTTTCGGGAATTTGCAAAATATGATTATGTATTCTGTAATATGGTTCTGTCATACAGGTGCAAACGACAGTACAAAAAAAAAATCTTAACCCCTTGATTTTCTCAATAAACTGAGGTAAGAACATTGATATATTACCCTGGTTCTTCAAAACACCGAGTGTTAATATTGGGCGCGTCATTCAGTTCTAAAAATAATAAAAATGTTGATGCTGAGAAGAATCGAACCCACGTGCAGTTAATTTTACTCCTCGGCGTTTTAATATCCGAGGTGATAAGGGATAACTTTTCATGACGCTCTTCGTTACCTCACTTTTGTAACCGAGATCAAACGCATTTCACATCTAACATTAGATGTGTTTTTTGTAGTAGTGACTTCTTATAGAAAATAATGTTCAAGAAATAAAATATATTAAAGAGTTTTTTCTGAAACTCTTGAATATCAAAGATCTTGAAAATTTGAAAGAAAAAGTATGCATTAAATTATCTCGTTCCAAAAAAGGTATCTTCATGTCTCAAACAAAGTTTGTACTAGACATCTTGCAAGATTTGGGATTATAGGCGTTTTTCCTGACAAATTTCCAATGGAACAAAATTTGAAACTTAATCCTATAAATGGAGTGATACTACACGATCCAACCAAATATCAAACACTTGTTGGTAGGTTAATCTATATTACTCACAAGGCATGACATTTTGTACTATGTGCAAACATTTAGTCAGCTCATGTATGAGCCTATAAATAATATATGAACAATATTTTCTTAATATAATATTCAAGTTCAAGGATTTATTTAATTTTACACTATATATATTCTAATAAACTATGAATTCTAAACATATATAAAGTATGTATTTTATTTATTTACTTGTATTAAAGAGTATAATAACTCATACTTCATGACAGCAACAACGAACGATCTTGGGAAAAAATCCATAACACGTACCACCAGTTCTATATCCCATCCTAAGGCAGTTTTGATTACATTGAGGAATAGGTGGACAATCTCCAGGTTGACATTTTAATCCAAAAATATTTCCCTCACTAGTACTTGATAATTCTACAACCAAAATTTTAGTTTTTTATGAATATATATATACTTAAATTACATGATTTTATATTAATTATATAACTGCAAAAATTAAACAAACTTATATTTATTACCTGAAACCAAAACCAAAGCAATCAACAAAATCCAGAAAAGATAAATTTGCTTGCCATAAACGAATCCCATTTTCAATGATATCACCTTATATTATTTTTCTTGTTTGTGAGATTTAGGACTTACATGTTGTTTTATATATACTAGTGAAACGACATAAAAGGAAGCCAAAAAAAAATGTCTATACATGAATGCAATTAAATGTTCTTTAATATTTTTATTACCATGTTTTAATTTTTGTATTTTTATATATACTTTATTGTTTGATAAGGTTATTTTAAATTAATGACTGAATTAATTAATCATATATATTTTTGAAACAAATAATATTATTTATTACTTTGTATTATAATATTATTTTTGTATGAACTATTAATTTTAAAAGTTCTTAACTATTTCATTAAAATATTAAAATAAGAATAAAAGTGTGAGTTTGCTTTTACTTTTCTTTATAATTTTGACCGAGTTAATAAGTATAGCTTGAAAAATAACATTTTGTATTAAATAAAATTAATTTTGTATTATTATAAATTTTTGTGTATTTTATTTTCAAAATAACTATACATGAATTTATTGAAATAGATATAGTGTGATTTTTTCATGAAACTACAATTGAATAGAATTTAGAAAACCGAGATGTGTTGCTCTCAATCTTTCCATACTTCTCTCTTTCTTAGTGGGTGGTTTTAGGAAAAACAATTGCCTAAAATTATCCATACACATATCTGTCTCACTTTTTCTCTCTAAATAAATGGTTTTCATAAATAAATTTTTAATTTTTTAATTTTGTTGTCCGAGTATAGTTTTGGTTTGATTGTCATTAAAAAAATTATTAAAAATGCTTGTTTAATTACTATATGAGAATATATAACATTCAAAATTATTATTGATTTGGATTGAGTCCACATTTGTTCTACTGTCGGGAAGGTCTAACTCAACACTTTTGTATAAGGTTCAAAAGCAAACAATCTAAGTTAGAGATCGTTGGGCAATTCTCCACGCGTCTGTTGAGGAACGTGACCCACGTGTCCCTATCATTGTCACCATAACTGCTCTCCAGAAATCATGGGTCCAACACCTATTCTTCCGTGGCAGTTGACCAGGGAGGTCTATGTACTGGACTCCATACACATGTAAGTCCTGACAGTCTTCATTATTGGGCCTCATTGTGGCCTAACTTTGGAGACCTTGGCCCAGTGTTGGGGGCTATAAATACCCCTCATCTTACTTTCAACCTCGGCTCGACATAAGGCTTTGACGATCACTCTGGTCAGGTACGATCTGTGGCACCGTCTATGGGAAACTAGTTTCCCCGTCTTTCATTTATCTAAGACAAAAGCAACTCCAAATTCTTGATTGTCATGGTCGACCCAACTGCCAACAACATCTTAGACGTCCATCTCGCTGACCCCAACAACAACGTCATCGACAACATGGGCAACAACAACAACGGAAACGACGGCGACATGGCCAGTCTCAAGCAGAATTATAGAGACGACATGACTGCCCCTCCTCGTCACGCTCTCAACCAAACGAGGGCGCCCATCTGCCCCAAAACTACGAGCCAAACGCTTTCTAGGAGGTCCCCGTCCCTCCGGACGTTGATGCCACGACAAGGCCCCTTTTCGCGGCCATAAACCAGATGAACTACATGATCTTCTCGCAAGGTGAGCAATTAAGGGCGCTCGAAGACTCTCGTCGAGCCCCCAGAAGATATAGAAGACCTGATCCCATCGTGCAGGGAACAACGATCCCCTGAAAACAGAAACAGGGGTAATATAGAAACACATCCTCGACCAAGGGATCCTCCCTGAGGCCAAGGACATCGCTATAACAGCCACTACAATCGGTCCCCTTCCACTCCCCCTACAGGGGCGACGAAGACGACCCTCGAGGTCCCTTGTCACAGGCAATCATGGAGGCACACATTCCCAGGGGCATGGAAAAACCTCCCCAACTGAAGGAGTATGATGGCATTACTGACCCAGTCGACCATATCGACGGGTTCGAAGAAATTCTTCATTATCATAACATCGCGGGTCCAATCAAGTGCCGGTTGTTCCCCATGACCTTGAGGAAAAATGTGATTGACTGGTATAAAAATCTCCCCCCCAGGGTCGATCACCTCCTGGAGGAACCTGAAGAACCAGTTCATCAACTCCTTTACAGCGTCTCGTCGACACCCGAAGACTGAGGTCGCCCTTGAGGCTATCGTTCAAAGAAGCAATGAAACCCTCATGGAGTTTATTGATCGGTTCAACCGCGAGGCCATTCAGGTCCCGTGCACCGATCACAGGAAGAGATATTTGCTCGAAAGAGGACTCCTCCCGGGCACAGAGTTCAGGAAGGCCGTTGGCATCGAACCACCCCGGACTTTCGATGCTCTCCTCGAGAAAGCTCGGGCTTATATCGACTACGAGGAGAGGGAAGCAGCAAACAGAGCTCGCGACCCAAGGAATCGCGGATCGACCAACACTCTATGACACTAGGACGTAATCCCTCATTAGAGAAGGGGCGAGAAGAGGAGGGATGACAAACCATGGGATCCCCGCGAGCACGGGGGAGGGGGGGTGGGGTTATAGGGAGATTCACCGAATACACTCCGCTGACAGCTTCCCGCAAGCCCATCTTGGCGGAGTGTGCTAATACCAAATTCAAGGACGGCGGTGACAAACGTCCTCGCTCTGCCTCTGTAAAGGCCAGGGCTGACAGGAGAAAATACTGTCAGTACCACCGGAGCCACGAGCATCTGATTGAAGACTGCATCCATCTCAAAGATGCCATTGAAACCCTCATCAAGGGTGGCAGGCTCGGGCAATATCGCCGCAATGACGCCCCTCGTCGGGATGCCCGTGAAACAAGAGAGGTCGAGGAAGACACCCGGCCATCGGATGAAACGGCCCCCATCCAAATAGCCTTCTCCGTTACAAGGTCAGAGGACTTCTACGTCCCCGACAGACACGAAGAAGAACCTTTGTCCATGTACAGTAGGTGGTAAAGATTCCCCTCCGCCTTGGTTATAACTGGCGGGGGGTTCAACGACATCTCCATAAACTCTGCAAAAAAGAAGCTCAATGAGTTGGTCGATGCAGCCCTGACTCAGGCAGTGACATTCGAGAAGGTCAAGGGAAAATCATAGCCAATTACGTTCTACCTCGAAGAGTTGCCCGGAGGGGCCCCTAACTCGAGCATCCCTCTTCTAGTAAGGGAAATAATAGAAAATTTCGACGTTCACCACATCTTGGTCGACGAAGGGAGTTCTGTCAATGTTATGTATAACCGTATGTTTTGAACCTTGCAGCTTCACGACACCCACCTTTCACCATATGTGGGGTCCGACCTGCAAGGCTTCAATGGCTCGATCTCCAAACCATGGGGGTATGTGGAGCTCTTTGTCACTTTCAGGGAGGAAATTGATGCCCGGTAGGTCAAGGTGATATTTCTGGTCATCGACTTCCCGTCTCTCTACAACTTCATCCTAGAGAGACCAACGTTGGTTGAATTGACCGATGTCCCCTCCACCGTCCATCTAAAGATGAAGTTCTACACGAAGAAGGGATGTGTCACCACCATCCACGGTGAAATCTCAGCTGCCTGAAGATGTTTCAACGCAGCTTCAAAGGGACAGAGCACGGTCGACACTGGGGCATGACATGCTAAGAGAGCTTCCACTGCTCGACCTGAGCCATAGCCCGTCAAGACAGAAGAACAAAGAGCCCCACCCAAGGTCGACTCCATCTCGCTTAAAACCCGCTTCGACAAGGATGAAGCACCCAATAGCAAAGAGGAACTCCTCCGACCAATCCCGGACGGAGACTTCGATCTTGTCCCCCTCGGTGAAGGCCCTCATAAAGGTGTGGAGATCGACACCGGACTCCCCTACTTGGAGAGGAAGCATATCAAAGGTTTCTTGAGGAAGAACACATACATGTTCGCGTGGTGCACTCCGAAGATGCTCGGGCTCGACCCCAAGGTCGCCTGTCACCACTTGGCCATTGATCCATCCGCTAGGGCAATAGTACAACATAGACGTAGGTAGTCTCCCGAGAAAGCGGAGGATGCTGAAAATGCTGTAAAAGACCTCCTAGAGGATAATTTTATTTCTGAGGCCCGGTATTCAACATGGATCTCAAATGTTGTACTTGTTAAGAAAAATAATGGAAAATGGAGAATGTGTGTTGACTATACTGATCTTAACTGGGCATTTCCCAAAGACGCTTTTCCTTTACCTAATATTAATATGTTGGTCGATAATTCAATCGTCTATAAAATTATATCGTTTATGGACGCCTACTCGGGCTATAACCAAATCCCAATGGCGATGAGCGACAAGCATTGCATTGCTTTCATGACCAGCTCAGGAAATTACTACTACAACGTAATGCCCTTCGGCCTGAAAAACACAAGGGTAACGTACCAGCGGATGATAAATAAAGTCTTCCGCAACGAGATCAGAGATATGCTCGAGGTATAAATGGACGATATGATCGTTAAATCTCAAGCAGATACCGACCACGCTTCTCATCTCAATAAGGTCTTTGCCCAAGCGAGACAATGTAGAATGAGGTTCAACCCTGAGAAATATACCTTCGGGGTTAAGGCAGGAAAATTCCTCGGTTTCTACCTGACGGAACGGGGAATTGAAGCCAACCCCGATAAGTGTCAGGCATTCTCCGAGCTCCCTACACCTAGCTCAAAGAAATCCATACAAGTCCTGAATGACATGCTCACCTTGATCTCCCGATTCGTGACGAAATCTGCGCAACACGCTCTTCCATTTTTCAAAATTTTGCGTAAAGAGGCAGCCTTCGTGTGGACGGAGGAATTCGAGCAAGCCCTCCTCCATCTCAAGCAAAGCCTTTTGTAACACCCCAATTCTACCTGACAATTAATATAAAAATCAGAGTTACAAAATTCCGACAACCGAATCAGGATGCTACACATTCCACTTTAAACAATGACATTCATTATAGATACATAACACATTAAACTGAAATGAACCAACAACAACATAATTTAATCTTTTAAAAACCAACAACTTTCATAACTACGCAGCGGAGTCAAATATTCAA